AATTATGAAAGTTTTAAATATTCGCATTAATATGAAGTTTTATATTTGGGTTACTCTACAGAAAAATAAATTGAAAAGCGTTTATAACTGAACCAGTCTCTTATGAGTAGTCCCAATAAATCTTTAAAAACTTACAGAAATAAAATAAAAATTAAATTATTGCACAAACGTAAATCAAATATTATTTGTGCAATGCTGCAAATCCACATATTCTTTCAGAAGCGTTTGTGTACCATCATCAAGAACCGTCATATCCAAACAGAAGATTTTTAACTGCGATTCGTGAGTTGAGAATAATTTGAATAAGAATTTTCATATATAAAGTTGATTCTATATTACTATTTCACTCAATCAATTTCTTCAGTTGTCATTCCCCTTTTAATTGGGCTATGGGAAATAATAGTTATTAGTTATCTCATGAAAGAGTTTCATACGATAAAATGTATTTATTTCTGGTTAAAGATTTATATACCCATCTTAAGCCCTCAACGCAACGATTGTCATAGGCGATTGACACAATGACAGGTTATTCCTATCCATTCAAAATATTTCCTTCCGCGAAGAGAAAGAGAAGTATGCTGTAAACTCTCTTGAGTGTACCAACAATTACTAGAAGGTAAATTTTCCACTAATAATCTTACCTCTAACAACACAAGAAGCATTATCAACGAAGTGAATAAAATATTAACCAAAAAAAATTTCCACCAAATCTCCTTCAACCTACACAGACTAATATTCCAAAATGGGAAATCACTTCTCTAACACTGGCTTACAGACCAATAAGTCAAGCCATTATTCCCCCTTAAACTGTAACCTACTACAACAATCACAAGTTCACAGAGATGGAGGAACTTCTGGGCAAAATTTTTAATTTTTTCTCTTGGGAACTCAGTGAAGACCACTTTAAAAATCTTCCTGCTAAAATGTTCGCCCTTAAATCATCCTACGATCTGCTTCTACAAGGTGCATCTAACCCTCCCGTAAGTAAAAATGAAGTGCTTCTTGCAACACAATATCCAAAGTTTTCGGCGCAATGATCACTCTGTGGACTTTTAGCTTAACTTCAATGCTATAGAGTTCGCTATCTTTAGTGAAATTTTCTTATTCGACGAGAATGTGCGTGATTTGAAAGTTGGAAACTATAATTTGGTACATAAATTCCCCGCCGATGGTTATGGACGTGTAGCCATCCTTATTAAAAAAGGAATCGTTTTTAAGCAAATCCATATAAGTCTTCTGTAGACATATTCACTTTGTCAAATCATCATCTCTCACGCCTAATCTTACAATAGCCATCCTGTCACTTCAAACGAAATACTCCTATTCAGATTTTTCGCAGTGAAACACAACGGCTTTGTGACTTCCTTGAAGGTTTTCAAAACATAATTCTTGCTGGCGATTTAAATTCGAGACGTTCTCAGTTTCGCGATACAGTTCCGAGCAACAGGTGCAAAACCCTCTGCGATGTTATGAGTTTTCGTAGTTTCTATTGTCTTAACAAAACCATGCCAACCTTCCTCCACTCTAATGTTGCTTCCTTGACTGGTAATGCTTTAGAACAAACTTTCTGAAAATCAAATAGCGTTGATTTTCAATAGAAAGTCAGGATAGAAGTTCACCTATGGAATAGTCATTATATTTCAATTATGTTTCACACTTATATCAATTCTTCCTCAAGAATCGATGGTTTTATTTTTTGTCGTAATGCTTGCTTTAGACGTCAACAAAGCATATGATTGTGTTGGTCTTGGTAAATTTGAAAAGATCCTAGGAAATTTTGAAATTCTATTACACTTTAGACTCTCCAATTCTAGTTATGCGCTTGGATTCAGTTGAAGTCCGCGGAGGATAGCTGTTTGCGCCCCATCCTTTTCAACGTATACACTGCCAGTTTACATCGGTTTCAGAACAACAGAAGCCATATATTTGAATATCCACACCATTTCTTAATTGTCATGTCATCAAGTAAATGTCATCAAACTTATGACCAATTTCTGAAACGCACTTCACCCAAAAAAACTTTAAATGTATAAATCCTTAGTTCCATCAAAACTGGAATATGCCTATTCCATTTCATATAACTCTGCGGATTGCATAATCAAAAAGATACAGACTTTTCAAAGAGAGTCTATTTTCCAACTGTGTAGAAACTTTTAAAAGTGAAAATCTCTAGATCTTCGCTCTTCGAATGGGTGGTCTCCAGATATTATGAAGCCTCTAGCGGCTATATCAGCTGCTACCAGAAATTTATTCACATTTTCGATCTGAATATTCTCAAGTCTATATATATATCTAATTCTAAAAGGAATTTATCTCACTCAAGTCTTCGAGCCGTATATTTGCAAAAATTAAATTCCTACCTAGAAAATGACTTGATAATATATGCCACAAACAGTTGGATAAGTTTGGACAGTTCGAATATACTGAATTACTCCTAGGTAAATTCAAAGTCTCAAATAAAACTATTTTCCAATTTTATTGAACTTCTTGCTACCAAACGACCTGTTGCTTTTGCTAAAGCCAACAACATAAAAAAATTTGTTATCTTTTCTGACAGTAAATCGGCCTTGATGTTAATCATCGTTTAATTCGTTTAATTCGGAAAAACATCATACATCATACATACAGGATCGTTTTTCTTATAAAATTCATCCTTTCCTGACCTTTGACCCTCTGCCGTATGGCAAATTTACAACATGGGAAAGTATAATACTTTGCAGACTCATGACCAATCATACATATGACAATAAAAATGATCAAGGCGACTTCCTCTGATATCTGTGAAGAATGCAACACAGCAGTCAGTCGAGCATTTAATTTTTGAATGAAGAAGAACACCCTTACACAACGTTTCGCCTTTTTTAACTTATACATAAATCCGCCTGAGTGGCCGAGTAGGCAAGAGTCTCGACTAGCAAGTCAATAGTCGTGGGTTCAAACCTCAAGTGCGGTAGAGTTTTTTAATAAAAGCCGATAGCCCTAGATGCTAGTGCTTTAAGACTTTAGTCTTAGAATTTATTCTCTGGCTAAATTTATAATAATAATAATAATAATAACTTATACAATGATTTATATGAAATTTTTCGTGCTAGCGATTATACACATCTCAAACAACTGACTGCATTTACCAAATCTGCTGATTTCTTTTTAAATCTCTTTTTTTCTCACTATTTTAAAAAACAAAAATACAACCTAAACTTATAATTCTTTTTTCCGAAAAACTCATTCGGAATTCGACAGCATCTTATTGACTATCTATACATCTTCGCCGCTGAACACAGGAAATCGCATCTACCAGACATTCGATCCTCCGGCTTCGTGCGGAAATTTATTTAACTGCTATTCTCAATCTCATAACCAATGGAGCAATTCAGCAGAAAAGTTCCTTCATCTCAAGTTACTGGTATATAAGCCTCCCAATCTGTAGGCTTTATACATTTCGTTCTAACATACCAAAAAAAAATAACAAAATTGTTTACTTACAAAAGAAAAATTTAATGTGTGAAAAGTAAGCAAATTAATTGTAAAGAAAATATATAAAAACTGATCAACTGGACATATTAGTCTTATCATAAACTGGTCTAATACATTTTCCTGAATAAACCAAAATAATAAGGTAAGTAAAATGTTGTTATTAAATAGTACAGTAAAGTTGGAAAATCTATACACATCATGTGGAATGGTTTCTTTCCTTATATTATGTCATCTGACAGTAGAGGAACAGCGAGAATGGCGGAAAAGGAATCGTGTAAGACGTAGAAGGACTTTTCAGAACACTTCAAATCCTCTTACGTTACCCGAAAATCTGTCAGTAAATGATTTTATACAGTCGTCAACAACGTAAATTAAAATGTTTATGTATATTATGTTATATGTAGATTTTTGCAAAAGTTTCGCGTATCAAAAGGGGTTTTTGAATATATTTTAGGGAGAATTGGTGTGAGTAATGGCATAGGAAAAACATATGTGCCTCCAGTGAGCCATTTATCTGTTATCTTAAAGTTGTTGGGCTCCAGAAGCTATTAGTAGCTGGCGGCTGGCGATTTTTACTTAAGCGTTACGTTTTTTGTATCAGAAATAAGACAAGAAATAGAAAAAAATTTGCGCGGAATGGGTTCAATGTGGTATTAAGGCCAAAACGAAAAAGTGACTCTATAGAAAATTTGGTATTCCTGGTGATAAGTAACTTCTTGCGTTTTTCTTCTTGTTATGACACGTAGCGCTATAATAAACGAAGATTTAAATATTTCTGATATTCATTGAAGTCATTGGATCCTGTAACTTGTTGCGATGGACAACATCTGCGCTGCCCGCTCTTGATTTTGTATTTATTTTTCGTTGTATCGTTAGCTACTCTTAACATGCTCCCTAAGCAAATTCAATATATCAAACTTTTTTGTGCTTTCCTCATGGGATGAATACGTTGTAATTATATGGTTACAAGTATTTTAAAAGATGAAAATTAATTCGTGCACTTACTTTCGTGTCTTACTTGGTATTTCATTCTCGACGTCATAATCTATCACATAAACATCTAAATATATATAAATATAAAAACCGTCGAGTAAGGCCTCGAATGCAAAAGTTCTTGTTGGTACGCCAAACGCAGACAACTATACTGTATACTAAGCCAATAATATTTGTGGCTTATATGTCGAGATAAAAAACAGTAGTAATTATGAGCAAGAAATATGAATAAATCACAAAACAAAAACTGCGGCCATGATAACTAAAGCCGAAATGTTATGTGTAATGTTTTGTTGAGTTGTTGAAAGTGATGTAAAACTAGTGTTCGAAACTTTGACTGAAAAAGTGAATGCTATAAAGATAAACTATTATCTTTATTATGCTTGAAAAATAAAGAAAAGATGATTGGGGTTTTCTAATAAAGCAAGCCAGTTTATAAAGATGACGTACATTTTTCTCCGCAAACAGATCGAGGAGGCCACCTTATAACAAACAACGTTTTTAAGACCATAATAGCTACCTTAGTAGCGTGTCCGATAGCAAGCAATTCAATAAAATTCGAGGAAAGTTCCTCTGCAATTTCGATTTTATGTAATATTTTAGACAGATGTTTCACTGCCGAGG